GGCTTGCCGAAGGTGTAGTGCGTCTCAGCTGACGAAGATGTGCGTGTTGAACGCCGCGCGGGCCGGGAGCAGTCAGTCGGGCAGGAGGAGCTGCCAGCGGGCCCAGCAGAGTCCGCAGCTCCGGAAAAACAGGGCGAATCCACCGATCCCTCACATGGCGTGCAGCGGGAGGGCCATGACATCCGAGGCGTGGATAAGTCCCAGGAGAAGCCGTCAGGTATGCCTTCAGATGGACCAGTGCACCACCACGCTTTCCCCGTCGTCTAAAGCGCTTTCGGCGAGGCAGGATGCAGGGCAACCGGCACAGGTAGGTGGGAATATTCGACAGTAGAGGGAGGGGGGACGATTTATGGTTGCCAGATGTAGGTTTGGGCAGCAATATCAACTCCAGTGAGGGTCTGAGGTGGAGGAGAGCTTGGCGATCGTAAACGAGCAGAGCAGAGACATTCTGACAAACATAAAACAAAAACAGGATAGCTAAAGGGAGAGAGCTGAGGGAGCGACGAGCCGACACAGGCGCCATCTTGAATCACGTCAGATGTCAAGTTTCAGGAGTTTGAATGAAGTGGACATTTCAGCTGTTAAGACAAATCAGCGAAGTTGATTTGTCTTAACAGACAAATGTCTTGTCTTTTTCCGATTATGGACGAACCCGTGTTAATCTGATAAAAATGATTGTATTACCAAAATTCCTCTACCTTTTTCAGAATATTCCTATCTTGATAAAAAATGTATTTCTTTCATTCATTGGAGAGAAGCATTTCATCATTCATTTCGAATGGCAAGCCCCCGAGAATAAGGAGAAGTGCCCTTCAAAGACCTAAAAAACTTGCCGGCCTGCATGGCCCTACCCAATTTCATCCACTACTACTGGGCGTGCAATATAAAAGCAATGCTACATTGGATGAAGGAAGTTGAACCTGGCAATGGTGAGGCCTGGGTACAATTGGAACAGGCCTGTAGCCCACTTAATCTACGTTCCATACTATGCGCTCAGTCACCTCCTTCTTTACCTCAATTCAGCTCTAATCCAGTGGTGTATCACTCCGGCAATTTAGAAGGCATTTCAATTTGCAGACAACGTCGGTACATTCTCCACTCAAGAATAATTACAACTTCCCTCCCTCCCTCTCTGACTCTACTTTTGGGATATGGGACACAAATGGCATTAAATCCGTTCATACTCTGTATGTAGATGGGAAATTCGGATCATTTACACAACTCTCTCAATGATTTAATTTACCACAGTCTCACTTCTTCAGATATCTCCAGATTAGACATTTTGTTAAGACAAATATCTCTTCTTTCCCTGACATCCCAATGAACAACGCAATTGATCATATTCTCTCACTATCGCCGGGTAGCAAAGGGCTAGTCTCTCTTCTCTATAATAGTATAAACAACATCGTTGCTTTATCTCTGCAACATGTCAGGAGTCGTTGGGAGAATGACATTGCTGAGGAAATGGCAGAAAGTGCTTGACTTCATGACCTCTTCCCCATGTGCTAGGCATAGATTGATACAACTCAAAATTGTTCTGAGAGTGCACTTTACCAAAGCAAGGCTGGCGAAGTTATTCCCTGACCTAGACCCTTCATGCCCTCGCTGTAACAGTCAACCAGCAGATCACATTCACATGTTCTGGTCCTGTCCCAACCTCCGCTCATTTTGGGGCAACATATTCATTGCATACTCCAAGATTTTTCAAAAAGACATCACACCCAATCCTGTATGTGCTTTATTTGGCCTCACCCCTGAAACCGACTACCTTAAAGGTAAAACTCAGGCAGTCATAGCATTTACCTCCTTGATTGCCAGGCGCCTAATTCTCCTGTCCTGGAAGGATCAAGCACCTCCCAATGTTACTAGATGGATAAGAGACACTATGCACTTCCTTAAACTTGAGAAAATCTGGTACACTCTAAAAGGCTCTGTGCAGAAGTTTACAAAGATTTGGACCCCCTTCCTAAATTATTACGATAGTTTACAGATCCCCCTAAACCAGGATGACTAGAGCAATAGTTTGTGGCAGCAGCAGCAGCAGCAGGACCCCAACCCCCATCCCCCCCCCCCTTTCTTCTTCTTTTTAATTTAATTCTCATTGGTTATTGTACTTATCATTTTATTTTGACTATTTCCCACTGATGTGCTTTGTTATCCTTGTACATTGTATTATATTGTATGTACTGGCCTTTTTTCATATATCCTTGGTTGGACAAAAACCTCAATGAACAATCATCCTTGTGAAGATCTGGAATTAAGGGGACGGGTGGGGAGGGTTGGGTGGGTGGGGAGGGTTGGGTGGGTGGGCGGGATTGGGTGGGATGCAATGCTATTGAATGTATATTTCTTCTGATTTTGAAATCTCAATAAAAACTGTTAAACAAAAAAAAAGCAGCTGTACCACACATCTTTAGGAAACACAATATTATTTTAATGATGCAATTTGAATGACATCCATGTAATACTTGTGGCTGCATTACAACTCTAATATGCGTGACAATGGATTAGTTTTGAACACATTGACCTATGACTGAGCCCTCATGAAACAGACTGCAGACTGTAAAGGGTTTTCTTTTATCTCCTCATCGATCTTCACTCAGCGTTTCTGTTTATCCTGTAGCTCTGAACTGTTTGAGTAACACACCTTAGGTACGCCCTGCAGGTTGGTCAGAGTAAAGAGAGGCAAAACAAATACCAAAAAATAAAGAGAGAGTGCAAAGTACCAACTGTACAAACAGGGAGGCATTTTCCCTTAAGAAATAACACATGGAGAGATCCTTAAGAGCTCAATCACAACCATTTCAAATTCAAATGGAGTTTCTCCTGTAAACGTACTGTGCCATCAACTATAACAGGGATTAATGGGCCCACTTATGGCGCATTTCCACTGCAGGGCCTCGCACGGCTTAGTACGGTATAGTTAGGCCTTGGTAGGCCAGGCTCACTTTATGCTGCGTTTCCATTACAGTTTAGTAGCTGGGGCAGTAACTATAGTAACGCAGTTTAGGCGGAGCCGTGACGTCATCTTCAATGCGAACTACAAAACCAACTGTTAGCTGTTAGCACTCAGAGCTCACAGCTCCTCATATCTGTTCAGAAACTAGACAAAAGTTAAACAAGTACAAACCACAGACTGTCTGTGTCATGGCGAATAAAGTCGAATACATTCATGGCGAATACAGTCGCCGATATGACGTAATATCGGCGGCGGACCCACAGCACTATCAGAAACGTTGCTATCAGAAACAATGTCCGACTGTTTTGGACGTAATATGGTCGGTGTTTACATTAGCATCGCTAACACATCAGAGCTAACCTGTACTGCACAGAGCATGTGTGTGAAGAAGCAGGAAATAAAAAGGAACTCACCTTGTGGCAAGAGAGAAAGCCTTTGAGCTCCATACTGTTTCAGAAATAATCCTTGATAATCCATGATATGGAGTTTCATCACCGCAGAATCTGCCGGTAGAATCTCCCGCATGAGCACGCATAAACTCCGCCCCTCTTTTTTATATATTTTTTAATTTTCTAAAGCTTTATATATAAAATCAGCACTTTTGAAACAGGAAGTGAAATAGAGAGATATGAGGCATGGCTAGAATGGGTGATCTGTTTGGTATTTTGAGCAAAACACTTCAGACATGTTTTTTATATTTGTATATATCTGAGACCATATGTTATTGCCTAAAAATAGCATGATAGGTGACCTTTAAGAGAAACTTGTTCACCAATTTAACTTTATTCTTGAGGTTTCTTACACAGAGCTTTCACTGCTGTTTTCCAAACATTACCTTTTTAGAAATAGTCACAATTAAGAAAATGGGGATCTTACCAGTAAAACAGTGCCCCTCTAGTTTGTAAAGGAATGAGACATAAATACCTCCTCTTGCTCAGTTTCTTTTGTTAAGCAAGGCTGAGGTCTGCTTTAAAGAAAGGGTAACAACAACAAAAGAAATGTGATCCGTCCGAGTCAGGAGAGCAAAGTGTCCTATAATGGGTTAAATATAGTTTCTAAGATTTTTCAACTTTAACAGGAGTCTAATAAGGAGAAACACAAGGTCTGTGAAATGTTTTGTTGAATTTTAAGTCTAATTAAATGCAAAAGTTGGCATAGTTTAACTTAAAATGAATCTTATTGATCTTAAAGCATCTGGCTTAAAAAAAAGTGACATTACTTGTTATTTTTTTCTCTTTCACACTCAATTGGAGTGCATCAAAGTGTGTTAATGTATGCTGTGGATATGGTGTTTATTTAGCCATCACAGTAATCTGACAGGAGTGTTAGATCACACCTTCGGCCTAATCTGTATTTCACTTTAGAGTCAGGTTTCTGTTCTCACTGACGGTGTCGTGACGTCTCTTTATTCTGTTAGGCACCAACGGATCACATGTCACGATGAATTACAATAATGACATGAATGTGTCATTTTCCATGGATAAAAGTTATTTCAACTTATTTGATTTGCCCTCACTGCTACGCTTTCAGTTCATTTTTTGGCAATGTATTACTGAAAAGAAAGTGCACTACAGTTACATTTTCTCACATTTAGTATGTATTTAAATGTTACCGTTATATATATCAATAAAAGAAAATCAACTTAAATCACTGACTTTATTTACAGATTGTACAAATACTCAAGTAATTGGTTCTAGAAAGATGTTCAAAAGGAGCCATTTTGTAACTTGCTAAACATGTGTTTTTATGAATGTAGGTCAAGAATTTAGACACACCAAACAGAGACACATTACATTTTAAATATATCATTATCTGCTTATGTAATTAAGCTCAAAATGTAAACTACATTCAACTTGAGATTCAGTTTCCAGGGGTGGGTCAGATCTTTCTCAGAGAACCAGAATTTCCTCTTGTGTTTGTTTCCCGGATTAAACACATCTCATGCGGGTCGTCAGTCAGGTGCAGACACACCTGTTCCAGGATGTTGCAGAAACCCCCTCTCCTCCCTCCTCCTCCTCCTCCTCCTCCCTCCTCCCTCATCACCCAGCAGCAGCATCAGTGCTGATCATTCTTACAGGAGCTCGTACAGAGGAGCAGAAACAGCTGAAGAAACTTTCTTAAAACTCAACATTTGACTCTCACACCTCAGGTAAGTCTCTATGAAAAACCTGATTACTGAGTGATTACTTTCAAGGATTTGTTCTTATTAATTTTAATGTATACCCACTTCTTTCTCTTAATGTTGTTTGCTGTGTGATTTTAAAGACTATTGTCCTACTTCATGATGTTTTTACTTTTCCTGGAATAGATTAACGATACTGAGAAGTGTTCTGGTTTACAGATGATCAAAAAACTCAATATTACTTTACATTTGTAGATGTTTAAGTTTGCTAACTTTCTCTCAAAAGCCTGACAAAGAACGCAAGATGGACTATTAGTACTAGAGTAGTGTATAGACAGAGTATAAAAGTAATCTTTTTTTAGTGATTTTATAATTTTGCTGAGGAAAACGAAGGTCTAATGATCTGATTGTGATAAAAAGAATTGTAAAAATAGGATTTTATAAATGTATTAACTCTAAAAATGTACAATCACAAAATAAGAAATAATTGTGCTTAAATGAAAAAGTCTGAATGTGAAATTTGATCAGGTATGAATATGCTATGAGAAAGTTTAAATATCTTTGGGATTAATTCAGATTTTCAGATAAAACTGAGGGTTAATTGGTGATGGAAAGGCTCTCAAATCAGACATGGTCAACATTAACATTGTCGATGACTGTCTTACTGATAGAAATGGAAGGAGGATTGATCGTGTTGGCCGCTGCGTTGCTGCTCTTTCTGTCACCAGATGTCCAGGGAACGGCTCATTTGTCTTTTTCCAATAATACACAGGTGGGAGTTTTTTCACTTCAATCCTCTGAATGTAAATAACCAAATTGACCTGCTTGACCTTTGTACTTCAAACAGGTAACCAACAAATATTTGTCCAAGGACCAATTTCCTTTTTAATTTGAAGGGTTGATAATAATTTACAAATATATTTTTAAATGTAGCAGCTCATTAATAAAAGGTCAGGTTGATCTGTATAGTGTAGTATTTAAAATCTGCCGTATTTCCTCGGTCTGGACTTCTCTTTCCTCTTTTATTGAGAAGTTGTTGATGCAGCCTGACTTACAAACTCAAATTCAACTCCAAGCCAAACAAAACCGCAAAACACGGCTCTGATTTTAAGAGGTCTATAATAATAAAAGTATCAATATTTATTAAAAAATCAAGAACAATTCTAAATAGCCTAAACATTGACAAGAACTGGTCAAGATCCAAGATCCAAAACACAGTGGATCCTACACTTCCCATAATGCAACTCAATAGTTTCTAGACATCTCGCATACTTAAAAAAGCTTTTTGAAATTTAAAATAGGACATTAGCCGCGTTCACACCAAGTACTTTGCCGTACTAAGTGCCGGCACTTAGTGCCCCAGCACTTAGTGCCCCGGCACTTATTACCCCAGGGCACTTAGTACAGATCGCGTTCACACTGGAATAAGTTCCCTGAGGGAAGATTACGCAAATGAGCCGCTGACGTCACTTCGTCTTCTTCTGTTTTGGGTTTACTGGCAGGCCGCAAACCACTTCACGGTGTATACTGCCACCCGAAGTCCCCGGCCGGAAGTCCCCGGAGTTGGGCGGAGACTGAAGCCTTCCGAGTAAATCGCCAGAACGCCGACACATCCTCATCTCCACCGCCAGGGGCGGACTGGGACTAAAATTCAGCCCTGGAAACTGACCCAGTCCGGCCACAAATGTCAAATGTTAGAAATCAGCTGTTTATTATTTAAAGTTTTACGTCCGATTCGCTCCTTTTTTCCTCTCTGTACACAGCTCCAGTTTGGGCATTGGCCTGTCATCAGATTTAATTTTTAGTTGCTGCTGTAGCGGAAGTTTATTCAAATTATTTTTGATGAAACCCTCCATAATTGCACTTGCTTCAGTTGCTTGCTACTTTATAAGGGCGGTGATGACAGTTACAGTACGAACTGAAGTTGAGGCAAGGGAAGCCAGCCGCCTCTGGATTGGCCTTAGCATGGCCCTGACCAATCACAGGTTGGCAGGGGCATGACGTGAGCCTCATCTGATTGGTCAATCCCTCATTTTTTTCAAGGGAAGCCAATTTCGGCTAGCCTCCTCTCGCAACAGAGAGTGCAATCTACTGTTTCACCATAACATCTAGAGGGACGCTGTTTCACTCTTTTTAAAATACTCAATGAGAATGGGGGAGAGATGGGCCGGCAGCAACACACAGCACAGAATAATTACCGAAACTAAACGAAGTGTTTTTATTTATGTATTAAAATTATAACTACAATCCAAAAAAACAGGGGAAGCCTGGCTTCCCTTGGCCTCCAGGAGAAAACGCCACTGATGTTCAAGGGATAATTCTCACCCACCTCTTGCTCTTGCTCTTGCCCTGCAGTTGTATGTGCCAGTTGAGCTGGTTCTTCCACCAGCTCAACTCTGTCCCTCATCATGAACGCAGGAGGCTGGCTGTATCTGAACTCGCGCCCTCATCATTCTCTTCATCATCTTGCACTTGTTCTAAGCTGCTGATGATAGTGCTTGTAGCAGCGCTGCTGCCAAAAAGGTCTGTCAATTTGCGACATTTATATGCTTCACCTGCGAGTGACTTCACCTTTTTTCTCTTGCCTTCTCGGCCCAACCTTTTTCTTTTCATTTTCTTTGATTTGTATCCATGCTTTTTCATTCTCCCTGTCTGCCGCGGCGTATAATCCCTTCTCTTCGTGTGGCCGGTCTTTTTTCTTCTTCGTGTGTGATTATTTGACAGATAAGAACCACACAACTGCATTAGCGGCCGCTGTCGCCCTCTGTCGGCCGTCAGCGCAACTTAAATGGTGAACGCGACATAAGGGGTACTAACGGAACTAAACGCGAAAAGTACGGGGAAAAGTACTCCGGTGTGAACGCGACTATTATGTAACATGCTGAGTACTCCTCGCCATGAGTAAACTGACAAATTGTCAAATTGGTGAAGTGTAACTCACCAACTAAAAAGTGTTAGCTACCTTGGCCATTAAACAAAAAAAGAAGACCATTTAATAAAAAATGTTGACAGAAATGTTTGAAGCTAATGCACCAGCACAACAAGTTGTTGGTCTAATTTAAAGGTAGTGTAGTTGCAGTATTCTTCTTGCTGTCCTGAGTTTGTATCCTCATGGTTGATTGCTGAAATAGTAAATCACTTTCTACACAAAACGTCAGCTAAATAAAATGTAATCTAACTACAAAATAGATGAAGGAGGAGGAAAGAATGAGGCCAGCTGAGAGTAGCCGCAGATGTTTAAAGGTCTAAAGGTTTAAAGGTTTAAAGGTCACCTATTATGCAAAATCCACTTTTTCATGTCTTTTATATATCAACATGTGTCCCCTCTGTGTGAAGAGATTCTGAAAGTTTCAGGAACAAAGATTCTCTCACTTTTTGTCGTGATCCATTTATATAAAAACCTGTCTGAAAATGAGCTGATCAGATTTTGGCCACTTTACGATGTCATAACGATTTTTTGGCTTGTGTAACCATTAGCCAATCACCAACCTAAGGGAAGATTACGCAAATGAGCCGCTGACGTCACTTCGTCTTCTTCTGCTTTGGGTTTACTGGCAGGCCGCAAACAACTTCACGACGTATACTGCCACCCGGAGTCCCCGGCCGGAAGTCCCCGGAGTTGGGGACTGGCTTCAGTAGAACAGTGTTTATTTCGTCAACGAAAACTATGACGAAAAATGTTCGTCAACGACCTTTTTTACATGACTAAGACGAGACGATGACGAGCTAAAAATAGATTCTTGATAACGAAAATTTGACGAAATGTATATTTAGTTTTCGTTGACGAGACGAGACGGGACTAAGGTGTTAATGGTGGACTATCGGACATTCAAAATGCAGGGTATTTCCCCCCAAGTGTCCGTCTTGTCTGTCAAAATGCATCTTACATTTCTAACTTGCAATATCATTATTTCCGCTCTCTTCACTCCAGAAGAGCGATCTCCCTCTCTCTGTGTGTGCGGGGGCGGGGCCTAACAGACACGCTGCAGCGGCAGAGATCTGCCGGGGACGGAGCGTTCAGAGAGTATAGAGACACTCTACAAGACTCGATGTGGACAAAGCTCGTTTGCCATGTTTTCGCGTTAGCGCGTTGACACGAGTAGAGTAGTCTGTCCAAACAGCCGGCCAAAAGGCGTCATATTCAGTCGGAGAAATGCACAATTTTCGACTTCCTTAACTCGTAGCTCTGTTGCCCCAATTATGAGTAACGTTATCACATCAGGTGTGCAGAGGTGGGAGAAGTACTCAGATCTTGTAGCTAAGTAAAAAAATACCATTGTGTAGGAAGAGTTCCTCAAGTCAAAGTATGATCATCAAAATATATTTAAAGTAGCGACAGTAAAAGTAGTCATTGTGCAGATTGGTCCATTTCAGAATAATATATATATGATATGTTTTATAATGATTGATCATTAAAGTGTTCTCAAAGCTAGTAAAGGTGCAGCTAGTTTGAAGGACTTTGTATACTGCAGGGTAGCTTGTGAATTTACTAAAGTCTGAGTTAACACTTGATTATATTTCACATCATTCATCCACATCTGTAAAGTAACTAAAGGTATTAAATACATGTAGTGGAGTAGAAGTACACCATTTAACTATGAACTGTAGTGGAGTAGAAGTACACAGTAGCAAAACATTTAAATACTCCAGTAAAGTACAAGTACCTCAACATTTTACTCAAGTACAGTACAATATTTTAACATAATTATATATATTTCATTTATTTCACATTTAAATAAAGCAATTAATTCGGTTAACAATTTGTTCGTTTTTTCCTTTAAAAAATAACAAAAAGTAAATACAAGAATACCGTTAAAGTGCCGGATCGATAAGCAGTATTGATAAGACTAGTAGTACCGTAGAAAACCTTAACGATACCCATCCCTAGATATTACACAAGTAAAGTGTTAAGAGAGTGAAATGTTGCTTTACGAATTTCAACACTTGATGCTGTTACCTTGATTACAATGTCAGATACCTGTATTTGCCTAACTGAATTGGTTTAAAGAGAGAAAACATTTGGACTAAAAGTTGACTAAAATGTAATTTTTCATCGACTAAAACTAGACTAAAACGTATTGAGTTTTCGTCGACTAAAACTAGACTAAAACTATGAAGGATAGAAATGACTAAAATGTGACTAAAACTAATAACCATTTTCGTCTAAAGACTAAGACTAAGACTAAATCAAAAACAGCTGCCAAAAATTAACACTGCAGTAGAAGCTGCTGGGACTCCCAGCAGCTTCTACTGAAGCCTTCCGAGTAAATCGCCAGAACGCCGACACCTCCTCATCTCCACCGCTCCCATGTTTTATTTTGTGTTGCCATAAGTTAGTCTCTCTGCGTTTGTGCGCTGGGCGAATGCTATTGCTAATAATGCTAATGCGAGGATAATAAAATGGCGGCTCTACAAAACATTTCAGAGTTGTACGGGGCGTGGTTTGCAATTCGCCCAGCCAATCAGAACTGGGGCACTTTTTTCCCCCAGGAAAGTACGATCTCTCAGCAGGCACTAAAAATGGGGGTAAAAGTTCCCGAGATTAAGTGCTCTTTTTGGTGTGAACGCGACATAAGGGGTACTAACGGAACTAAACGCGAAAAGTACGGTGAAAAGTACTCCGGTGTGAACGCGGCTATTGTGTTCTTTTTAACCAAATATCTCTCAGAGGGCCGTGGGGAGTGGCTACTTATTTTTCATCTAAAGCTCCTTACACATCAAACTGACACCAAAGAACACCAAAGAACACCAAAGAACACGTCCCGACGGAACGTCGCCTCACGTCGCCTCACGTCGCCTCACGTCGCCTCACGTCTCCTGCGTCTTGGCCATGTTTCGCACTGGAACACACCGCAAAGACTTCAGCCGGCGGCCAAGTTGCACGTACGAACTGCGCATGCGTGAGTGGCAATAACTCTCCTTACCAGCAGGCGGCGGTAGTGTGTATTCATCATTCAAAAGAGGCAACAACCGGAAGACAGACTGCGTGATACACTGAGAGAACAAGAACAGACTGCGTGATATAAACAAACAACAAATAGCGTGTGCATTCCATTTTCACTCTACAACGAGAAGCTCATGGGGCTTTCCCGAAACTGTGTTGAGGGCTGGAGTTAAATGAAATCTCAGATTTGCCTTCTTAATAGTTTGTTTGGGTCCCTCACTTCCGTTTCGCTTCTCATGCACTGATTCGCTAAGCTGAACAGCCAATCAGAGTGATTTCTTTGGCCGACGGCCTTTGGCCGACAGCCTACCGATTCAACATGTCGAATCGGTGGCGGAAGGTGTCGGCACGGCCGAAAAGACACGACGGTGCAGTACACACCAATCTGAGTAGGGCAACACAACGCTCATCGACGGCCCGACATCTATCAACATCTATCGACGCCGAAAATCGGCTCGGTGTGTAAGGAACTTAAAGTAACAGACAGAGAATCAGCACTTTTGAAACAGGGCTGAAACAGAGGGGATTATGGGATGCTACAATGATCTGTTTGGTGTTTGGAGCCAAACACTTCAGAGACATGTTTTATAAATATCTGAGAACTATATTGATGAAAAAGAGTATAATAGGGGACCTTTAAAGACGGTGTTGATGTTTCTGTGTGTGTCTAACAGGTGAACATCACTCGAGATGGCTGTGGAGTCTCCAAACTGTGTGTGCAGACTCCAAATAACTGCGACCCCTCTGGAAACTCTTCCTGTCTGTTTGTCTCCACGGTCTCCTCTGTCTCAGTGCCTCCCAACGGGGTTGACCTCTCCATCGAGCTGAGCGGAGAGTCTGCAGGATACATCGCTGTGGGACTCACTGCCAACGCCTCAGAGGTAACACACACACACACACACACACACACACACACACACACACACACACACACACACACACAATCATGCAGTGTGGTCATTTTTTATATATACATACAGTTATTCTATCAGAGCATGTATCAAAAGTAGGTAAACAAATCTTCACTTATAGGAAAAATAGGTAGAGTAACAATGTAAATACTGCGTAACATCAGGGCAAAGATGCACAGACAGAAGACAAACAGACAAACAGACAAACAGACAAACAGACATACAAAAACAGACAAACAAAAAGAAACAAGTAAATAAATAGAAAACCATCCAGCTAAAACAAAAATGTCTATAATAAACCAGTGTGGCCAATTTCAAGCACCTTGTTGCTAAATTTGACTCATAACTTGTGTCTTATGTCCATATTAAGCAACAAGAACCTCAACAGGGTTGGGAGGATTACTTTATTATGTTCTGAGGTGTGCAGTGATGACGTGTTTGAAGGCCGTTTCTTTTGGATTACGTCAAATCAAATGCTATACAAATAAGTACAAGAGAATATAAATGGCTTTTACGTAAGTGTATTACGTAAGATAACAGAACAATGAGACAATACGAAACCAAGATATTTAAATAATGTGTCCTCTGCTGAGAGATTTCTTAAAAAATATATAACCTGCCGTTCATTTATCATATTCAGACTATAGAGCAACAGTGACCACATACTGCAGTTTAAAGCTAAAATCATTACAGTTCAATAGAAACAGTGAAGCTCACACACACACGTTTAAGACATAATGAATTCACCTACTGAATAAAAAAGTTAAAACCATAAATCAGCATTGTTATCCTGCTTGTAATCCCACTTTTTTTTAGAAATGAATCAGCAGTGGGAGACAGGTTTCATGAGTTATTCTGACGACAGGATATATCTTTATGTTACGCCCTATTGTGATGTCTAAGCTCCCAGCAAAGCAAACTGACTATCTTGACACAAGTCACCAGGATCTCATGACTGCATGAATACAAACTCATGTGCAGTAGCATCATGTGATATTTATTGACATGATCAAATATGTATTCAGTTGATAAGGACATTGTTTTCATTGTAAAATACTGAAGAGCGTGGAGAAAACATCATTGTGTGTCCGGCAGGCTTTGTGCCAAAGAGGATTCAGTGTCTCTCTCTGTCTGTTTCATGTTTGCTGTGTTTAAAGACGTGGGATTTAGAGGATCCGGCCCCTGAAATAGGACACATAATAACATCATATTTGCCTACATTTGTTTGAGGAACACCATGCGGCTGCTTTGTTTCCATAGAGAAGTAATAAACCGGTATTTTATTACCCGATGTTACAATGATGTGTTATGTAATCGCGCGTCAACGTTTCATCTTATGTGTCACGCAACATTACCCAGATGCCAAATATAACATTTCATACATTTAAACTAAGATTTAATCTGAAGGAAAACATTTTAAAAACGTCAGACTGTAATTAACTGCGCTACTTCTTTAAACGCTGAAGATATATAGCATAAGGCCACTTAAAAATAAGTTTAATATTATACTTTCGTTCTTTATAATGACCTTCTTGTGTTTGTGTATTGTGCTGCTGCCTTTCTGTCTTTTCTAAGTATAATTGGTACACTCTTGATGCCTCATACTGTTCACTTGTTTTTTAAAACAACACCCATTTTTTCTCGTTATTTTGTTATCCCGTTTTCTCCAACGACTATGACAAAATAATTTCACAATTTATTTAAGTATTTTTCTTGTATTTAAACGTTTTATTGTAAATCGAGCACTCAAATCTCAGAGAACATCAAGTTTTATTTGTAATAACTTTAATCTTAAAAATTCTGTGATTTTTCCTGAATTTTCCTCCTGTCTCCAAACACTCTGTCAAAGTTGTTCTTATAATTTAGCAAAAGGGGCATTTTTCTCCTGTTTTCTATTCTATTCTCCACATCAGCAAATCAGAGTTTTTTTACACTAATATCTTGAGGCATATTGTGCAATGACAGAACTATGTGAGACCTTGACAGGAACACAAAAAGACATGACGCAAACAGGGAAAAAAACACACACACACACACACACACACACACACACACACACACACACACACACACACACACACACACACACACACACACACACACACACACCACACTCGGGTGACCACAGAGACAAAACATAACAATAAGAGCTGGAAACTCAACTCCAGAGTTGTTCATCTCTTTATTGTCGTATTCCTAGCCTTAACAAAGACACTGTACTGTAGCAATGTGTCATTGTCTTCACTTCAAGGAAGCCATCTCATCTTTTCACCAATATTTCTTTCCGCAGGGTACCAGCATGCTTTTCATCTGCGCTCAGAACAGCTCGGACAACGGGACGTTCTTCTTCCGGACAATGCAGATGAACAACACTGACAAAATGCTCACTCCAACTGAGAGGGTGAGATTTCAAATGTACACTCATACAGAGAGATGTTGGCATATTCATGTATTCACACTTAGGGAAATGTACTTATTTATGTGATATGAAACAATGGAGGACCAGAAATTGAAATACCTTCATATCGTTTTTTCTACTGCTTACAATGTAATCTTAAAGGTAGGGTAGGTAAGTTTGAGAAACCGGCTCGAGATACACTTTTTGTTATATTCCATGGAATGCTCTTAACATCCCGATAGCAATGAATATCTTAAGTGCTTTGACAAAAAATCCATAAAAACATTTCATCTGTGGAAGCCGTAGTACTGTAAAAAGCACGACCAATCATTTTAGCCGGCCTGGCTAAAATAACTGGATGGCCTACCTGCCTGTCAGCCTTCCATCTGTGCACAAACTTATCTCGTGCCCTCATTGGTCATGTGCGCGTTTGTGTGTGTTGGAGGAGGGGCTCTGTAAGGAAGTGGCAGATTTTTTCCGGCTGTGTATTTTCAAATTCTAGCGCACTCGAGCTGGTTTCTCCAAAATTACCTACCCCACCTTTAATATGAGAAAATGATAGTGATTTAATGAATGCACATATTGCTCAGATACTCAGATTATTGTCCATTCAATCAACTGTCACACATTTAATTTAGAATAATGATAGTTTCTTAATCTAGAGAGATCGTTAATTTCTTTTTTTTGTCACCCACCTGTTTGCAATCAAATGCCAACATTAGATTGTACATTAGATTTGTACATGTGAAAACTGATCTGAAAAGTCTGGTTTTGAGAGGCAGCTGCTGTTGGATTTGAGTTGCTCAGTGAAGCAGATGTTATCCTTGGCTTCAGCACACAGCCTTGGAAACAGTTATTACATTATCTATCTTTTTCTAGAGAGTGAAAGAAATCCGTGGCATGGTGAACGGAAATATGATCAAGTGTGAGTTTACGGTCCCCAACGTGAACGCCTCCAACACCAGGAGCAGTGAAGACACTATCTTCTCCGTCCTGCTCGGGAAAGGAAGCTTCGACGGAAGTAAGTACACACACAGATACACACACTGTATAACTATTTTATTTATAAGTGCTTGATTATTTACTGTTTTCTCCCTTTTGGCATAAATTAAAAAAATATATCATTACAGATTTGTACGCTTATATCCAGAGATAAGAACAGATGAACTGCTTCCACTTTGAAACGTTTATGATTTGATACGATTCTGTATTTAATGCATTTAACTATATCTTAAAGGTTTGTCAATACATGTCTAACCTCCCACTGATCTGTCCTCCTCTTGTGATTGTTCAGGTGCTCTCGGTGCCTTCAATCTCTTGATCGGCAGCAATCCACTGGACCTCACCAAACCCAACATCCCCACCACAGCAGCACCCACCACCACAGCACCCATCAACAACACCACCATGCCCAACAACACCACCATACCCAGCAACACCACCATGCCCAGCAACACCACCATGCCCAGCAACACCACCATGCCCAGCAACACCACCATGCCCAGCAACACCACCATGCCCAACAACAGTGGAGCTCTCCAGCCTCATGGTAAGAAAATACATACATATAATTTCTCTCCAGCTTGAGGTTTTCAGAAGCTTCGGTCCAGAAGTATATGGTGTCCTGATTCAACACATTTGAGAGCAATAACTACTGAGAGATAAGATCAGTAAAACGTTTGTATTGTTCCGTGTCCTGGAAATATGGAATTTAGTATTAATTATTTAAACAATGGGTTGGAATTGCATCTGTGATGCTCACAGTATTAAAAAAAAAAAATGTAAGGCTTCATTGTCCTTATTTGTTTTTGACTTTTTTGAGAATGTTTTATTACATAATTGTCTATGTTTTTTTAATGGCATGCTATAATATGACATTTGTTGATACTCATGACATCTATAAGTACTTATTATACCATGATTGTTATGATATTTTGTTATAACCTACTATATTTTCTATGACATACTTTGATTTTTTGCAATTGCTTTTTAAAGCATATTTGTTTCCTTTGTAACGTGGCATAAAATGTGGCATATTATGACTTTTTAATGCTCTACTATACTATAACTTTTTATGACGTACAATTATGAGTTTTTTAAACCAGGTTGAAATATGACCATATCACTATACAAATGACATGTTTAGAGGATCATCTAGAGTAGAAGGGAGATTCTTAGACAAAAAAAACCCTCCATTAATTCACATGGTATTTGGGTGAAGGTATTTAACTAGGATCCATCTTTTTTTAAACCTCTGCATATAAAACTGGATATCTGTAAACAAAAGACAAAAAAAGGAGGCGCCATGGTAACAATTAAACAGCAGAGGAGGAAGAGCCTAATGATTCAACATTTTGTGATTAACATCTTCTTTCTCCTTCCCTCCAGCCGTGCTGCTCCTGCTGAGCGTCCTCACGCTGTCCGTCCTGCTGAGAGTCTGAGAGGAGAGAGAGCTGTCCAGTTTGATGCCATGAAGAAAGAAATAAACCGAGTGTCAAGCTATTTATTAAAATATTTTCACTGAACTCATTAAGACATGTTTGAAGGTCATTTTGCACTTTGTTTGTTCATGAGATGTACTTTGTGATCCAACTCCAGATGAAACACTTGTTATGGTTCAAATGCCTTAATTGGTTATATGTAAAGCGTATTTGAGCATTAGGAAGAGCGCTATAAAAATCCCATGTATTATTATTATTATTATTATTATTATTATTATTATTATTATTATTATTATTATTATTATTATTATAAATTATGATATTAATTTCCTGCATAGTGAAAAAGTGTTGTAATTACAGTTTTGCATTTATGTAATATGTTTCCATCTGATCCAGCCTATCTAGCACCTCAGGTAGTTTTTATAAACACACATTTGCAGACTTTGAATTGTTTACTGAAACTCAAGTAAACTTCAACACACATTCAGGGAAACCCAAGCCAAACCAGCTGTGTCATTATTGTGTTTTAATAGTAAAATGTACTGTGACTGTAAAATACTTTTCAAAGGGAAATAATAAACGATTAAATTACATTTTAATTGTAATTGTTTGTGGAGTCATGTCATTAACAGAATTATTCTACAGATGTTGAAAATGCATCATGGTACACATAACAAACCATGACTTTAGGACCGCAACGAACAATTTAGGTACTGAATAAAATCTAACGATTTGTGAAAAATGCCAGTAAAGTATATAAAGCCGACAGTGATTGCAATTTAATATGGTCTTATCACCAGTCTAAAACCTAAAAAACACTCAGATATCTCTTGAATAAGACAGAAGCAGTGGGCACATGTTCCCAATAAAGCACATAAAACAGGGAATCTATGCTTGAAAAGTGACTTCTTCATAATAACTAGTATTTATTTCTTCCTGTCAATCAACTAATTGATTCAGCCATAGAATGACATCACCTCAGCATCATTCACAACAACTGAAAAAAAAAGGGTTTGTGATTTGCCATTAATCTCAAAAATAACATTTTAAACATAATTCACAATTATGACTTAAATACCCGTTTCCTTATGTAAAACAGACAAAGTTAAAACCCTAGTTGACGACGAAATCAAGGCAGAAATATTTGTAGGAAGGAAAGACTGACTTTCAAAGACAACAGGTGAGTATGTTTTAAACACCAGGCCACATCGGAGTGGGTGGTACTGTTTGAATGTTCTCTCAATCACAGACCCCGCCTTCCCGGGGTGTTTTATGATCCAAAACAAGCATCCTTTTCCAGTACTGCGCCACCGCCATCACAGCTCGGTGGTAAGAGAAAGCTGCTCAGAGCTTCATAAAAGGACGGCCTGTAGTCACACATTTTACTGAAAGCAAGACATTTTACCCTAAAGGTCGTGGTGAGTATTTTGTTCCCAGACATTTTTGTTTATTTTTCCTTCCTTTTTCTTTTCTTTTTGGAATTTTTGCAACGATGCTTTTTCTATTTTACCAGCGTTATGTGATGGCTAGCTAGCGAGGTAGCTAGCTATGCTAACTCGCTCTTTTCCCACTGAAAGAAAACACACACACGCTGATTGTGTTTTTTAAGAAACGCCACTCTTTTGGATGCATCTTAGCTGCTGTTTCTTCCATTTTTCGCAAGATTGTGTAGCTTTGGTTTTCCTGCGTTTATTGTGAAGATTTTTCCTTGACGGGACCGTTTTGTCTAAGCTAAGCTAGCTCATAGCTAAGAGGCTCTTGTTGGTTTTTATAGTCGCAGCTTCTCCCTGATCCATGATTTATTGCAGATTTCGTCACTCTTTTGCAGGTTTTGTTTTTTGCAAGCAGAGGAACTGGTCTGATCTCTATCTTTTTTAATGCTTTTCGAGTTGTGGTTGGCTAGCCGGCCTTGTGTTTTTCACCGAGGCCTTTTGGTGGCGCTGTTTGGTGGATGGTTTTGGATTTTCTGGATCAAGAGTAGATTTTTCCAGTGTTTTTTCTTTTTCTCCCCTTTTTGATGCAAGAGAGATTTTTCTGCTTTTGGAAGTGGTCTTCCGGTGGCCTCAGTTTTGTTGCATGTCGTTACAAAAAAATACACATTTGATTAATTAAACGTTTGTTGATCTGAATGAGTATTATGGCTGTTTGTGTATCAAAATGAAATCACGCCTTCACATTCACCCCCAGGCCACAGAAACACCCACAAGCTCCCATAGACTGTTCATAAGAGACAAGAGAAATGTTCACATTCAGGGGAAATACTACTAAATTAAAAACAAAGGCATGGTCCTATAATATAAAGCTTTAAGTTATGTATTACATCTCTTATTTCCCCTCAATCTCTCTACTCTAATTCTTTACTATTATTATTTTATGTGTAGGCTACTTTTATTGTGATTTATTTTCGATTTTAAAGAGGTCTAATTCTTAACTGGTCTAATATTTACAATGATATTACTTCATGCTAAAAGAGTATTAGATAAGGACTCATATTTTTTTTTACTATCAATTGTAGGAGTAGATGGTATTTAACTAGGCCTAGATAATTACTACATTTGACACCTGACTTATATGTTTTACACATGAAAATGCCTATGATAACATTCTAAAATATGACTTTATCATTGTATACACAAGCTCTTAAAGGGCTTCACCTACTGTGTTTATAATATTCAAACTCCTCTACATATGGGATATGTTGGGCCTGCCTTTCGACTTTTCAAGTCAAGTTGGTGATGATTGTAATGGTTTTGTTCGGTTTAGATTTCCCTTACTCTTGGATAAATACAATATTCTCCCAGAGTTCATGCTTAATAGCCATAGATATATCACGTTAACATGCATTATGGTTAGGATTCAGTCCCAGAGTAGCTTGTTGTAATGGGATTTTCTTGGAGACGCATACCTATATTTATTTCTTTTATTTGAGGTGATTTTCTGTTTGCCTCATCTCATGTACACACTCCAACCAGGTAAGACTTGGTACATCATAACCCTGCTCAGCTTGACTGAGTGTGTTTTCTGTCACCTCAGTATTTATCGTGAGGGGCGAAGGTCGTGACAGCCCAAACTGATCCCAGCCCTCAGTGTGAAACCTCAGACGACTGCACACAGACGCTATGGAGTGAGTGATGAATGTTCAACCCCCTGTCACCCCGGGGGGGTGGGGGTACACTGTTGATCACACTAATGTTTTCATGTTTGCTGTATCGGGGATCACTTTCCATCTCCAATTGATACGGTTCTGGGCTTTATATGGTTCTCTGATCCTTCCTTGCGTCTACTAGAATAATAACACACCCTCTTTATTAGATCATGAGTGAGCTGGACTACAGAGACAATCCAGTAAATATAAAGTAGTTTATCGGTGATTTACAAATCTGAGATCTTTATAGAGCAGTATATAGAATTTATTTTTTTTCTCCCCTTTTTTATGGAGCATGACATCAGATTACATTTCTTTATCTTAAATGCTGTCCTCTACTGGTCTTAATGGTGAATTACAGTTTAGTCATTAAAATGTTCTCCTGCTGAGTGAAATGGATAATAGTTTTACGCTGCCTTCACCAGCATTTTCAACTGACTAATACCCAGAAATAAACACATTGGCCACCCCTTTTTCAATACTGTATTAAAGCGCCAACAATTAGCACTGACTCTAAACCCCAAACTGATCAAACTCAAAACAGTACTATTGGTACAAATGATACCATACAAGTACAACATCTCACTTTAAAATACCTTAAATATTAAGTCCAGTAGCATTCTTTAACTCTTAAATCAGCCGAATGTTCAACCTTCTCTACAGCATGAAAGGGATTTATTTTTTTAATACTTTATCTTGTATATTGCAGCATAATGTTGTTTTGTATACAAATACTTAAATGAAGTTCCTTGATAAAAGCAGCTACACGCTTCAGAAAGTGGAAATATGCTGCTGTCAAAATGTTGCTTTTTTAATTTTTGTTATGGACTAAAATTCAGTCTGATTGTCATTCTGGAGATAATATGATTACTAAAAACTTGAGTCGGTGTATGCTTTACTTAGCTCAGGCCTCCAATTGTATGCTTAATTTGGTTGGTTTGTCCCAGAATGTGGTGCATAATAAGAAAATGATCTATATTTAGACTGAGAAACTTAGAAATGTGTTATTAGATGGGGGAAAATATGCAGCAAGACTTTATACAAGGAACATGTCAGACCAATTTTAGGACAGGTTTTGGATTCTCCTGTTGAAACAAAAAGGGTAAATAGCCTCATATCCCCCCCTTAACTTCCTGTGGGTTTATCCTTTGTTATCTGCACTAGATTTGATTATATTCTACACTGTTGTCTTGATTCACAGCTGCGTGAGGGACTCGCCAGTATTTAACACGGGGACAGCAGGAGAATATCAGAGGAATTAATTAAATATTCTGCCACTAAACATGTGACCTGTCTCTCTGTGTTTCTTCCCATTTTAGTCGTTCCCCCACCACCGCCAGCCTCATGGCCAGCAACGTCACCAACAAGACGGACCAGCGCTCCCTGAACTCCCGGGTGTTCATCGGGAACCTCAACACCCTGCTGGTCACCAAGGCCGACGTGGAGTCCATCTTCGCCAAATACGGCAAGATCGTGGGCTGCTCCGTGCACAAGGGATACGCCTTCGTCCAGTTTCTCAACGAGAGGACGGCGCGCTCTGCTGTCGACGGAGAGGACGGGAGGATGATCGTCGGCCAAGTTCTCGGTGAGGATCCAATTGTGTTAGGATTTTTTTTTTTTTGCTTTAATGAAAGTAGAGTAGGATAGGTGGGCGAGAAAAGTGATGACATGCAGCAAAGAGCCACATAGCACTTGAGGATTTAGTTTTTAAACTTATTGCATAGGTCATTCAATAGACATATTCTAAGGTCAAGCTGTTTTATTTAAAGCAGTTTTCAGAAGGACAGTGGTTCCCAACAGCTTGTCACCACGTTAAGCAAAGCACAAGTCCTTCATTTAAAGTTTTGAAGTAAATGTACCTCACAAAACAAAGAGAATAATACAAATGTAAACAAACGACATACTTGACAGTTGTGTGTGTATATATTTTTGATCTCCTGCAACGTG